TAGGGCGACTCGCGGCGGTGCACAACATATAAAAACAGTTTACAAAAGGGCAAAACAGGAAATCAATACAACAATAATACACTATAATCTAGTTACACTAAATAATCCGCTCCGTCACATCATAGAATCATAACCAATATCGTAATCCGTATTCCGTTCCAGTTGTCAATTACCAGTTGCCGTAGCGCTCAGTTGAATGCCTTCTCAAATAGCCAGGTCTTCAGGCTCTTTCGGAAGGACAGAAGGGAAGGCGCCTGTCTGATGTCAGCAGGGAGGTCGTTCCACAGCCGGGGGGCCACCACCGAGAAGGCCCTTTCTCTCGTCCCCTGCCAGACGTGCCTGTGAAGCAGGCGGGATCGAGAGAAGGGCCTCCCCAGACGATCTCAAGGTCCTCGTGGGCTCATAGGCCGAGATGCGGTCGAAACAGGTATTTTGGGCCGGAACCGTTTAGGGCTTTGTAGGCCAACACCAGCACCTTGAATTGGGCCCGGTAGCAGATCGGCAGCCAGTGGAGCTGGAACAACAAGGGCGTTGTGTGCTCCCTGCGTCCCGCTCCTGTTAGTAACATGGCTGCCGCGCGCTGAACTAGCTGAAGTTTCCGGGCCGTCTTTAAGGGCAGCCCCTCGTAGAGAGCTCACATAGCCTCGAGCCATAGCCACTGAAGCGATGCCAAACTGCATTAATTCCTCACTCCCATGTCAAAGGGAGATCTCAAAAAGGGAAGAGGCTAAATCATGTATGGGCAAAATTAGCATGATCATCAAGTTCGTAGATGACACCAAATTGGGAGGGTCTATACTTCAGAAGGAGCAGAAAAGAAGACAAAAGTAGATTTGAGGATTGCCATAAAGGGGATTCAGTGAAAGAAGATATGTGGGTAGTTGCGGGTTAGTTATGTGATCCATACGGAGTGGTGTCGGAGGTCACAGGGGTTGGGTTCACGGGTGTGGGGTTAGAGGGACAATAAATGTTAATGTATTATAACTGTACAGTCAAAGTTGAGTTTTTATATGTTTAATGAGCGCTGACTGTATACCATTCTGCTAACTGGCATACTCTTTTGTATTTCTTTTTTTTCTTTTTTTCTGTTTTTTTTTCTCTTTCTTTTTTACTTTTTACTTATTTCGGTTTTCCTTTGGTGTCAGTTTTGTTTTCTGTATGCACCACAAACCAATAAAAAAAACTTTAAAAAAAAGAAAAGAAGGAGCAGAATACAAAACGATCTTAACAGATTAGAGAGATGATTGGCCAAAACTAACAAAATGAAGTTCAACAGGTACAAATGCAGGATACTCCACTTAGGCAGAAAAAAGGAAATGCAAAGATATAGAACGGGGGACTCGTGGCTCGAGAGCAGTACATGTGAAAAAGTTCTTAGAGTCCACGTCGGCAACAAGTTAAACATGAGCCAACAATGTGATGCGGTGGCAAAAAATGCCAATGGGATTTTGGCCTGCATCAATAGGAATCTAGTGTCTAGATCCAGGGAAGTCATGCTCCCCATGCTCTATTCTGCCCTGGTCAGATCACACCTGGAATACTGTCTCCAATTCTGGGCACCACAATTGAAGGGAGATGTTGACAAGCTTGAATGTGTCCAGAGGAGGGGGACTAAAATGAAGAAGGGTCTGGAGTACAACCCCTATCAGGAGCGGCTTAAAGAACTGGACAAGTTTAGCCTTCAGAAAAGAAGGCTGAGAGGAGACATTATAGCCATGTATAAATATGTGAGAGGAAGTCATAGGGAGGAGGGGAGCAAGCTTGTTTTCTGCTTCCCTGGAGACTACGTCGTAGAACAATGGCTTCAAATTACAAGAAAGGAGATTCCATCTGAACATTAGGAAGAACTTCCTGGCTGTGGGAGCTGTTCAACAGTGGAACTCTCTGCCCTGGAATGTGGTGGAGGCTCCTTCCTTGGAGGCTTTTAAACAGAGGTTGGATGGCCATCTGTTGGGGGTGCTTTGAATGCAATTTTCCTGCTTCTTGGCAGGGGGTTGGACTGGATGGCCCACGAGGTCTCTTACAACTCTAGGATTCTATGATTCTATATGCATTGAAAATAAAGAATATTTGTAAAGGAAGGGTATAAAGCTGTTCTCCCTTCTCCAAAATTATTGGGACCAGAAATGGTTTGGATTTTGGATGATGATGATGATGGTGATGATGGTGATGGTGATGATGATGAGGAAATGTTTGCTGGAGGGAGGCTTGCACCAGCGAGTGCCTCCAAGAGACGGGGGTTCTGTGTGGAAAGTTTGGCCCAATTCTATCTTTGGTGGGGCTCAGAATGCTCTGTGATTGTAGGTGAACTATAAATCTCAGCAACTACAACTCCCAAATGACAAAAATCAACCCCCACCCAACCCCACCAGGATTCAAATTTGGGCGTATCTGGTATTTGTGCCAAATATGGTCCAGTAAATGAAAATTCATCCTGCATATCAGATATTTACATGACGATTGTTGACAAGCTGGAATGTGTTCAGAGAAAGGCGGCTACAATGATCAAGGGTCTGGAGAACAAGCCCTATGAGGAGTGGCTTAAAAAGATGGGCATGTTTAGCCGGAAGAAGAGAAGGCTGAGAGGAGATATGATAGCCATGTACAAATATGTGAGAGTAAGTCATAGGGAGGAGGGAGCAAGCTTGTTTTCTGCTGCCCTGGAGACTAGAACACAATAGAACAATGGCTTCAAACTACAAGAAAGGAGATTCCATCTGAACATTAGGAAGAACTTCCTGACTGTGAGAGCTGTTCAGCAGTATATCTGCCCCAGAGTGTGGTGGAGGCTCCTTTGTTGGAGACTTTGAAACAGAGGCTGGATGGCCATCTGTCGGGGTGCTCTGAATGTAATTTTCCTGCTTCTTGCCAGAATGGTGTTGGACTGGATGGCCAATTTGGTCTATTCCAACTCTATGATTCTATGATCCATAACAATAGCAAAATGACAGTGATGAAGTAGCAACAAAAATAATGTTATGGTTAGGGATCACCACAACATGAGGAACTGTATTCAGAGGTTGCAGCATTAGGAAGGCTGAGAACGACTGGATTAGCTGCTTTCCCACAGCTAATGGGTCAATATGCCATAACCAGTCATTTATTAATATTTCCTATTGATTCAACTGTCAAGTTACAGCCAAAAAATAATAGCAGGAATTCACTTTTTTGCAATTGCAGAGGCATAGCCTAGGGTTTCGCCTCTGGTTGTGGCTGTTGGGTTTTCAATTGGTTCTGGTCTACAGAGACCCTTTTCTGCAAATCTATCAGGTGATTTTCTGGGGCTGAGAGTGTGTGACCTGCTTAAAATTTCAGGACATAGTAGGGATTTGAACCCAGGTCTCGAGTTGTTGTCCAGGGATCTCGGAATCTTAGAAGACCACAAGCTGAACATAGGTCAACAATGCAATGCAGCAGCTATAAAGACCAGTGTGATTCTAGGCTGCATCCATAGGAGTGTAGTGCCTAGAAGATGGAGGGAAGTCGTAATTTCCACTGTATCCCGCTTTGGTCAGGCTTCACACAGAATGTGTTTAGATGTGAAATAATAAAGAGTCACAAGCATTGAGTTGGGGGAGCGGGGTCTCAAGGGCCATCCAGTCCAACCCCCTGTCATACAGGAAGATACAATTCAATCTTCCAAGCAGATGACCATCTGGGCTCTACTTAAAAACTTCCAAAGAAAGAGACTCTGCATATTCCCCACTGAGCATCTCTTCCTAACGTTTAGGTAGGATCTCTTTTGCATCCCAGAATAGAAATCATAAAAAGTAGATGCTTGTGATATTTTTTAAAAAAATCCTTAGATTAGTTTTGCTAGGTATTTCCAAAAGATTTCTGTTCTCAAATAGTATGTTGTGTCCAGGTTGGGTCATCAGCTGCTATGGCTGACTTATCTGGTTGAAAAACAGGGAAATTCCAGACAAGAATCAATCAGGGCCAGCTAACACCTCCCAACAAAGGACCCTCCAGGCAGCAACTAGCCAGGCTTTGTAGCTGCAAGGCCATTCAATGCTAATCAAAGTGGCCAATTGCAACATTCACACTTAACTCAAGCAGACAAGAGTTTTTTCTCCCACCCTGGACATCATTCCACAGGTTTATAAACTTGCCTAGTTTCCAACAGACCTCACAACCTCTGAGGATGCCAGCCTTAGATGGGTGAAGCGTCAGAAGGGAATGCTTCTGGAACATGGCCATACAGCCCAGAAAACTCACAGCAACCCAATTTCCAAAAAATGCTCTCAAAGAATGTCCAAGGTGTTTTTCTATGTGTATGCATGGCTTACCTGGCCCCATTGTTTTGTTGTTGTTTTTTGTGACACAGGAACCTATTTCTATTTTCCCCTGTGGTATTCCTGCTTCCGACACCCAATTTTCTATATTGGAAGTAACCCCCCCACAAAGACATAAACTTGAAATAATAGGGGAAATCTATCTGGACCCAAGACCTCGTTATATTTGCAATTTTGGAATTATTTACTCCTGGCATTTAAATCTATGGGGTGGTAAATTTTCCAAGGGCAGTCTAAAAAGTGGCGTAGACTCAACACCTTTGATTATATCTTTAGAGTTTGGACTAAAACCCAGAGCGGATTCAATGCATTCCTCCCAGATCTGGGCATTCCAGCCACCCCTGGAACCCCCAGATTCGCCACCACTCTTTAAAGTAAAGGAGTTCTTGCTTATGTTTAGGTGGAATCTTTTTTCTTGTCATTTGAATCCATTGTCTCTGGAGTAGCAAGAAAACCAAGCCCGCTCCATCTTCTCCATGGCATGGTTCAATGGCATGGGAGCTGCAGTTTTACAAGATCTTTAGCCTTCTCTGCCAAAGAGTTCTGGTGTCTCATCCAACTACAACTCCCAGCATCGCACGGCACTGAGCCTTGGCAGCTGAAGTGGGGCCAGACTCCATTCATTCCACAGTGTAGAATTGCACACCCACAGAGCTCCTTTCTCAAACGTCACACTCGCAACCATCATCATCACACTTTGGAAAGAAAAACCTCGGAGGCCTGTTTAGCTTGCAAAAGATGTATTGTCATTAGTCTTATTATATATCTTTGAACCTCCTTCATTTACAGTATAGTACAGCTGGTTGAAAATATGAAAATACTCTGCCTTTGCAAAAGATAGCTAGCTACCCCTTTCCACGTTGCCGCCCCACATTTACTTTGTGCATTCAAAGCCAGGGGTGCGTCTACACGGTAGAAACAATGCAGTTTGACACCACTTTAACCAACACAGAATCCTGGGAGTTGTAGTTTAATGAGCTGTTTTGCCTTCACTGCCCAAGGGCTCTCCCAGGATCCCACTGCATTGAGATAAGGCAGTTATAAACTGCTTTAACTCTACGGTGTAGATGATGAAATAGACTTGAATCCATGGAAGTTTGTGGCAGAACTTTATCTTTCTGAGAGCACATCCCTTTCAATGCAAGGGCTCCATAGCACTTAGCCATGGCAGTTAAAAGTGGTGTCAAACTGCATTCGTTCTACTGTGTAGATGCACCCTGGGACGCCAAACATCAAACAGTCACTCCCTCGGTTATCAAGAACAAGTAAGAACAATGTAAAGAAATGGTCTCCGTTAACAGTATCTAAATGACATTATGGGCCAGAGATATTCTACATGTGGGGCGTCTGGGCACCCCGACTCCCCTCCCGCTCTTATTGGCCTTTCTTGTATGGCGTCTTGACAATGGCGTTCTTGAAAAGAGTCACTAAGGGCATGCGGCTACGGTCGGAGCTCATGAACCCGCCGTAACGCTTCCGTTTTGGGGATGGGGCCCCCCACCGGAAGTGGTTCATCTTGTATCCATCTTTCTTGGTCTCGTCCGGCTCCTCGGAGTGGCCCTCGGGGGTCTCCCAAGACAGGTCTCGCCGGAACTCTTGTGGGTAGCTCTCTGTGGAGGCCTCCTCGTTGGGGAACACCTTGACCGGCCTCCTCTTCCGGCCCACCGGCTTGCCCCAGCGGAAGTGCTCCATGGCATAGGACCGCTTGCCGTCCTCCCGTTCGAGGGAAGAGTCGCCGACAAGGTCCCCTTCCCAGGTCTCTTGGGTTTGGGAAGACGCCGGGAGGACCACGGCAGTGGACTCTCCATCCTCACCGCTCTTGCCTAGTTTGTCCCATGGGAAATGGCTCAGGACGTACTTCCGGAGGTCATCCGAGAGGGGCTTCATGTGGCCGTGGCCTGGGTAGATGGGGGTCTCGTCGGAGAGGGAAAGCGAGTCTCTACAGGCTCGGAGGCACTCCTGGAAGAAAACAGAAGAGAACAGGGAAGGCAAAAGTTAGAATAGATCAGTGGTTCTCAACCTGGGGTCCCCAGATGTTTTTGGCCTACAACTCCCAGAAATCCCAGCCAGTTTACCAGCTGCTAGGATTTCTGAGAGTTGAAGGCCAAAAACATCTGGGGACCCCAGGTTGAGAACCACTGGAATAGATACTGTTGTCAAAATCTCCCCTCCAAAAAGATGGAGCTTCAGTCAGGGTTTATTTACTTCTTTGTTTGTTTGTTTACTTCATTTCTACCCTGTCTTTCTCTACCCTAGAGGGGTAAAATTCAATGCCACACAGGTAAACAATATTATTTACAGTATTTATTTATTTACAGTATTTATATTCTTCCCTTCTCATTCCGCAGGGATGACAATGGCAAACATTCAATGCCATAGACACACAGCATATATAGACAGACACAGAGGCTATTTAACATTCCAGCTTCATGAGGGTATTCTGGCCACCAGGGGAGCTGTCGCATCACTGTCCATTTGTGATACTGATGGAGTACTTCCTCATTCATTTGCTTGCTTGCTGGAGATTTTATGGCATTGTAAATTAGTTAAATTAACTTCCCCACATAAGTGATACCTAAATTTCCTACTTGACAGATGCAACTGTCTTTCGGGCTGCAAAGGTCGACAGCAAGCTACACAGTTGTTGGAAGCTCACTCTAACCAGGGCTGGATTCGAACTCATGACCTCTCGGTCAGTAGTGATCTTAATGCAGCTGACTCCTGCCACAGTCCCAATAAACATATCTCATCAAAATATAAATTGCTTACGGGACCCCCATCTACCCAGGCCACGGCCACATGAAGCCCCTCTCGGATGACCTCCGGAAGTACGTCCTGAGCCATTTCCCGTGGGACAAACTAGGCAAGAGCGGTGAGGATGGAGAGTCCCCTGCCGTGGTCCTCCCGGTGTCTTCCCAACTCCAAGAGACCTGGGAAGGGGACCTCGCGGTGACTCTTCCCTCAAACGGGAGGACGGCAAGCGTATAAGCAATTAAAACACATATCAATCAACTAACCAGATGAAAACCATATAAAATGCCAAGCCATAATCTCATGTCCGAATCGTTTTCCATAATCCATAGTCTGTTATTCAAGCTGTTAAAGTCTCATTCCGTAGTTTCCTATTCACCAAATACCTGCAAGAAGAGCCGGCGTTTGGTGAATAGGTTTGGATCAGGTATGGACAAACTTCAGCTTTCCGAGTGTTTTGGACTTCAACTAACTACCAGCTGTTAGGAATTGTGAGAGTTGGAGTCCAAAACATCTAGAGGGTCAAAGTTTGCCCATGACTGCCTTAAGAGGTTCCCTAGTCTGAAATTCCCCCCCAAAAACTTAACCCTATCCTTCTTCTCAATCTTGTCCATTCACCCACTAGGTATGCATAAGCCCCTTGACAATAAACAGAGATCAGCAGTCATCCAACTCCTCTGTCTCACACAGACTGGTGCTTGGCAGAAACCAAAAGCCCATCGACCCAACTTCTCACCCCTTTTGTACTAATCTCCGAACTCATCAGGACGCCCACTGTCCCAAATCTGGGAGCAACAGGGTTCCAGCGTCCCAAGGGACAAACCCATTAAGCACCCTTTGAATCCAAGATCCAACAGCAAACTCTTGCTTTCAAAGCAGATGGAGACAGCAGAGAGCCTCAGGTTTAATCAATGGGATTGTGCACCCTAATTTGCAACAACTACAAACTATAAACAAATGCAGTTTTGAAGCAATGGGATTGCGGATCCTAATTTGCACAACCCACAAACTATATATGAATGTGATTTTGAACCAATGGGATTGTGGATCCTGATTTGCACCAATCACAAACTGTAAACAAATGTACTTTTGAACCAATGGGATTGTGGATCCTAATTTGAGTCCCCCTTGGGGTGAGAAAAGCGGTATAGAAACACTGTAAATAAATAAAAAATAAATAATTTGAACTAATCACAAACTGTAAACGAATGTCCAGTCTTTGTCCAATATCATTACTGGTCCCTACCATGAGCAATGAGCAGAGGCAGGGAACAAATAACATGTATTATTATTATTATTATTATTATTATTATTATTACTACTACTACTTTTGAACCAGTGGCTTTGTGGAACCTAATCTGCACCAACTATAAATGAATGTGCTTTTGAACCAATGGGATTGCGGGTCCTAATTTGCACCAGCCACAAAATGTAAACGAATGTACTTTTGAACCAATGCCATTTCAGGTCATAATTTGCACCAATCACAGCACATGTCCATTCTTTGTAATGATAGTAAATGTCCATAAAAATCCAGGCTTCTAACTGGGATGCATGTCAGATTTGGGTTTTTTTTTTGCTGCTTTCCCTGAGATAATAATAATAATAATAATAATAATAATAATAATAATAATACTCCCTGCTCTGGCCATTGATGAATAAAGGCTTCTGTGTTCATTGGCATCAATGGGCATTAGGAGGACCCAGCCTTTTGGAAAACAACTGTGGCAACAAGTGTCCCTTCTACCCCCAATTCTCAACCTCAACCCCCTCTTAAAAGCCAAACTTTTAATTCTAAAACCATGTTGAAGTAAAGAAAAAGCCATTGCCTGCCAATAGAAGGACAATAAAGAGGAGGCCATTCTCATTTCCCTGACCAGCCAATCCCTCTCCAGTGCCAGAAATACAGCTTAATGGTGTAACATTAGAAAATGTCGACCATTTCCGCTCCCTTGGCAGCCACCTCTCCACAAAAGTCAACATTGACACTGAAATACAACACCGCTTGAGCTCTGCGAGTGCAGCATTTTTCCGAATGAAGCAGAGAGTGTTTGAGGACCGGGACATCTGTAGGGAGACCAAAGTGCTGGTTTATAAAGCTATTGTCCTCCCAATCCTGCTATACGCCTGAGAGACATGGACTGTCTACAGACGTCACATGCAACTCCTGGAACAATTCCATCAGCACTGCCCCTGGAAAATCCTGCGGACAAATGTCAGTTTGCTGGAAGAAGCAAAGACCACCAGCACCGAAGTGATGGTCCTCCGCCATCAACTCCGCTGGACCGGCCACGTTGTCCGGATGCCCGACCACCGTCTCCCAAAGCAGTTGCTCTACTCCGAACTCAAGAACGGAAAATGGAATGTTGGTGGACAGGAAAAGAGATTTAAAGATGGGCTCAAAGCCAACCTAAAAACTCTGGCATAGACACTGAGAACTGGGAAGCCCTGGCCCTTGAGCGCTCCAGCTGGAGGTCAGCTGTGACCAGCAGTGCTGTAGATTTGAAGAGGCACGAATGGAGGGCGAAAGAGAGAAACGTGCCATGAGAAAGGCACATCACGCCAACCCAGACCAGGACCGCCTTCCACCTGGAAACTGATGCCCTCACTGTGGGAGAAGATGCAGGTCAAGAATAGGGCTCCACAGACACCTATGGACCAACTGCCAGTACAGTGGTCCTGGAAGACTATCCTACTTGGACAACAAGGGATCGCCTAAATAAAAGGGGAGTGCTTGTGTCCAAGGGCATCACCCAAAAGACCTTGCCTATACATTCCCAACCAAGAGAACCATTCCAACCCCTTTCTGCCAGGCAGGATGATACCATCCAAGTCCTCCCAACAGATGTCCATCCAACTTCTGCTTAAAAAAATCCAACTCCTCCCCCAAAACAACAACAACCTCCAGACAGATTCTTCCTAATGTTTAGGTGGAAAACCTTTTCTTGCAACTTACCATCAGCTCTGCCTCCGTTGCCATGTCCTGGCACCACCCTCCGTCCAAACAGGGTCCGCGGTCCCCTGCCACCAAATGGATGGCCAGGACTCCAAGCATGGCCAAGAGGCTGTGGTACTGGCGGGTCAACATCTTCAGGGGGAAAGCACAGGGGCCTGAAAAACAGAAGAGTTGGCCACCATATTAAGGGTGTGAAGAGAGTGTGAAGAAGATGTATTGTCGAAGGCTTTCGTGGCTGGAATCACTGGGTTGTTGTAGGTTTTTTCGGACTATATGGCCATGTTCTAGAGGTGCCTGGCCGCTGTGTCTATCTGGATGAGGACGAACAAGCTGAAGATTAATCCCGACAAGACAGAGGTCCTCCTGGTCGATCGTAAACCAGATCGGGGTATAGGGTGGCAACCTGTGTTGGACGGGGTTACACTCCCCCTGAAGCCACAGGTCCGTAGCTTGGGAGTCCTCCTGGATTCATCGCTCACGCTTGAGGCTCAGGCTTCGGCGGTGACCGGGAGGGCTTTTGCACAACTGAGACTTGTGCGCCAGCTACGTCCGTACCTCGCTAAGGCTGATCTGGCCGGGGTGGTCCATGCCTTAGTCACCTCTAGACTGGATTACTGCAATGCGCTCTACGTGGGGCTGCCCTTGAAAACGGCTCGGAAATTCCAATTGGTCCAACGGGCAGCAGCCAGGATGTTAACTGGGGCCCATTACAGAGAGAGGTCAACCCTCCTGTTTAAGGAGCTCCACTGGCTGCCGTTTATTTTCCGAGCCCAATTTAAGGTGCAGGTGCTTACCTACAAAGCCCTGAACGGTTTGGGACCACCCTACCTGCGTGACCGCATCGCTGTCTACGAACCCACACGCTCACTCCGGTCATCTGGAGAGGCCCTGCTCGTGATCCCGCCCGCGTCACAAGCGCGCTTGGTGGGGACGCGAGACAGGGCCTTCTCCGTGGTGGCCCCCCGCCTCTGGAACGCCCTCCCGAAAGATCTCAGACAAGCCCCTACACTGGCAGTCTTCAGAAAGAATTTGAAAACCTGGCTGTTCCAATGTGCCTTTTCAGATTAGGAATCTCCCACTACCAAATCCCAGAAGCACTTTAGTACCGAAAACACCGCACACTGCACACCGCACTTATATCATAATCCCACACCCCTCCGACTCATCAGCACTTTTAATCTTGTACCCCTACTTTGGCCGACTCAGTTTTTAATAATGTCTTGTCGTACTGCCATTGTTATTGTTTTTCTGCTTAACTGTTTTATTTGCTAGATGTTGTATTGTGTTGGGCTTCGGCCTATTGTAAGCCGCATCGAATCCTCCGGGAGATGCTAGCGGGGTACAAATAAAGTTATAATAATAATAATAATAATAATAATAATAATAATAATATATGGCCATGTTCTAGAGGCATTCTCTCCTGATGTTTCGCCTGCATCTATGGCAAGCATCCTCAGAGGTTGTGACCTCACAAGAGACCTCACAACCTCTGAGGATGCTTGCCATAGATGCAGGTGAAACATCAGGAGAGAATGCTTCTGTAACCTCACTACCTCTGAGGATGCCTGCCACAGATGCAGGTGAAACGTCAGGAGAGAATGCTTCTAGAACATGGACATATAGCCCGAAAAACCTACAACAACTCAGTGTGAAGAAGCCCTGAGAGGTAAAGGATCCTCCAGTGATGGACGATGAATGACAAATCGCCATGTTCATGGATATCTGCGTTAGTGGGTTGGACTCCATGCCCTCTGGAGGCCCCTTCCCATTGTTCGATTCTGTGTCCCTCTTCCCACTGCTTTCCCTTCCCTCCTGGCGCCTTCTTTCTCCAAGTCTCCCTGTGGGAATACACGAGCCGCAAAGTGTTAATCCTTTTCCCATGATATGAAACAAAGGGGAAAAAACCCCAAAGCGGTTCCAGCTATGCGCCAGATGTGGGGCGGTGCCATGCGTTTACCCTGAGAAGGTCCTTGCCAGCATGTTCCTATAGACGACACATGTTATTTTCTCCCAAGGCACAGTTCTTTGAAGCTAAACCTAAAGTCTCAAGAGAGAAAAATTGATTCCGGCTGCTCCACAGCCCCATTTCTTGGGCGGAGAGTGACCTTCTTTTTGCATTCATTCTACACTTTTAGATGCATCTTCATGCATATTCACAATGTCCCTGTTCAGGCAAAGGGTTGCCGTGATGTTGAGGGATTGGACTAGATGGCCTTTGTGGTCCCTTCCAATCTATGATACACTATAACAGTGTTTCTCAACCTTCCTAATGCCGCAACCCCTTAATACACTTGCTCATGTTGTGGTGACCCCCAACCATCAAATTATTTTCCTTGCTACTTCAAAACTGTAATTTTGCTACTGTCATAAATCGTAATGTAAATATCTGATATGCAGGATGTACTTTCATTCACTGGACTAAATTTGGCACAAATACCCAAATTTGAATACTGGTGGGGTTGGGGTGGGATTGATTTTGTCATTTGGGAGTTGTAGTTTGGGATTTATAGTTCACCTACAATCAAAGAGCATTCTGAACTTCACCAATGATGAAATTGAATCAAACTTGGCACACAGAACTCCCATGACCAACAGAAAATACTGGAGGGGTTTGGTGGGCATTGAGCTTGAATTTGGGAGTTGTAGCTTTGGTAGTTGTAATCTTTCATAGTTACATTATGTGTAGTTGGTTATTAAAGGGACATTCAAATAAGTACCGCTCGGCAATGCTCTCCAACAAAGGGCGAAGGGTTACTTCTTCTTTATGGTCATGTCTTGCCCACCATGACCATTGAGATCCTCCGTGTTGCTCTATCCTTCATAACATGAGACAACGCCGGGTTTTTCCACCTCCTTCGGGGCCTAATGTGAGAAATGGGAATCCACTAATTTGAGATGCAGATCAACACCAGAAGTAAGAACAGGACTGGATCCTAATGTCAGGGGACAAACCTTTACCCGTCATTAACTGGTTTTAAGCCTTTTTACCTTATAGATGTTCTAAATATAAGTTCGACTAAATGGTTTTAATTGTATTTGTTATGGGATGTTCTATCCCTATATCACTGACTCACGCTAGCCCACTTGATAACACAACCATTGAGTTAAGTACATTCACTCTGAGCTGTTGGTCTTCCCCGTAATGAATTTGCACGAAGCAAGACTTAGAAGATAGTGCACTAATAGTTAAGATAATACACACCGCAACACAACCAACTCACAATCCACAAGAGAGCCGCCTACCTTTCTAGTCGGCAAGCATTGCTCGAGAAACCTACTCAAACAATGATGGATCTGGACCAAACTTGGCATGGATACTCAATATGCCCAAATGTGAACACTGGTGCAGTTTGGGGAAAAATAGACCCCAAAGACCATTTAGACCAGTGTTTCTCCACCTTCCTAATGCCACAACCCCTTAATACAGTTCCTCATATTGTGGTGACCCCCAACCATAACATTATTTTCGTTGCTACTTCATCACTGCCATTTTGCTCCTGTTATGAATCGTCATGTAAATATCTGATACTCAGGATGCATTTTCATTCACTAGACCAAATTTGGCACATATACCTGATACATCCACATTTGAATACTGGTGGGGTTGGGGGGTGGGATTGATTTTGTCATTTGGGAGTTGTAGTTGCTGGGATTTATAGTTCACCTGCAATCTAAGAGCATTCTGAGCTCCCCCAGCGATGGAATTGAACCAAACTTGGTACAAAGAACTCTCATGACCAACAAAAAAATCCCAGAAGGGTTTGGTGGTCATTGATCTTGAGTTTGGGAGTTGTAGTTCACCTACATCCAGAGAGCACTGTGGACTCAAACAATGAAGGATCTGGACCAAACTTGGCATGTATACTCAATATGCCCAAACATGAACACTGGTGGATTTCGGGGAAAATAGATCTTGACATTTGGGCGTTGCATTTGCTGTGATTTATAGTTCACCTACAATCAAAGAGCATTCTGAACCCCACCAATGATAGAATTGGGCCAAACTTCCCATACAGAACCCCTATGACCAACAGAAAATACTGTGTTTTCTGATGGTCTTTGGCGACCCCTCTGACACCTCTTTGCGACAAGGGGTCCTGAACCCTAGTTTGAGAAACATTGATCTAGACCAACCCCCTTCTGCTATACAGGAATGCACAGTTGCTGAATGCATTCCTAAAAGATTCCCAGAAGGATAGTCCAGGACCCTTTCACTGGACTAAAAAAAAGTTATTTCCAATGTTTAAGGGGTACATTCTTTCCTTGTAATGTGAATCCATTTGTCTGTATCTGATTTCCTAGAATAGTAACAAACCAGCTCCATCTTCACCATGGCCTCCCATGAGGTTATTCAAAGATTTCCGCTTTGTTCCCTTCTCTTCCAAACAAACCGAAAAACTATAAATCCTTATTCTCGGATCTGGGGAGAAAGAACATTTCCGGATTTTGCTTGGCTTTATGGATTCTTCCCTAATAATAATAATAATAATAATAATAATAATAATAATAATAATAATTGCATTGCAGGATGGGGTCAGACTGGATGGCTTCTGGGGTTCCTATCAAAATCTTGTTGTGTTTCAAATAATAATAATAATAATAATAATAATAATAATAATAATAATAACAACAATAATAATAATATAAGTAAAAAAATCATAGTGGTTATTCTAGTAGAGAACTCACCACAGAGTCCCAGCATCCTATGCCAAGTCCAACTTTCCTGCGTTATTAAGCTGTATAGAAATAATCATGATTATAATAATCATAATAATGGGTAAATAGATCTAGGAGAGGACTCACCACAGAGTCCCAGCATCCTATGCCATGTTCAACTTTCTTGCATTATTAAGCTGGGTAGAAATATAAGTATAATAATAATAATAATAATAATAATAATAATAATAATGCCAGAAGTGACTTGAGAAACTGCAAGTCGCTTCTGGTGTGAGAGAATTGGCTGCAAGGATGTTTTACCATCCTTGTGAGAGGCTTCTCTCATATCCCTGCATGGGGAGCTGGAGCTGTCAGAGGGAGCTCATCCATGCTCTCCCCGGATTTGAATCTCCAACTCACTGCAGAGTCCCAGGACAGAAATATGCAGAAATAATCACGATAATAATAATCATAACAATAGATATTTTTTTCATGTCACGAGCGACTTGAGAAACTGCTTCTGGTGTGAGAGAATTGGCTGTCCGTAAGGACATTGCTCAGGGGACACCAGGATGTGTTACCATCATGTGGGAGGCTTCTCTCATGTCCCTGCATGAGGTGCTGGGGCTGACAGAGGGAGCTCATCCACGCTCTCCCCGGATTTGAATCTCCGACCTGTTGGTCTTCAGTCCTGCTGGCACAAGGGTTTATCTCATTGCGCCACCGAGGGCTCCTAACTATAATAATCATAATCATAATAATAGGTAAATCCCATAGATTCAATGGGGTTACTCTAGTAGAGAATTTACCACAGAGTCCCAGCATCCTATGCCATGTCCAACTTTCCTGCATTATTAAGCTGGGTAGAAATAATCATAATTGCAATAATCATAATAATAGGCAAGTCCCATAGATTCAATGGGGTTACTCTAGTAGAGGACTCACCACAGAGTCCCAGCATCCTATGCCAAGTCCAACTTTCCTGTGTTATTAAGCTGGGTAGAAATAATCACGGTGATAATAATAATCATTATAATAGGGTTTTTTTTCCATGTCATGAGCGACTTGAGAAACTGCAAGTTTCCCTCTGGTGTGAGAGAATTGGCCGTCTGCAAGGACGTTTGCTCTGGGGACACCAGGATGTGTTATCATCCTGTGGGAGGCTTCTCTCATGTCCCTGCACGAGAAGCTGGAGCTGACAGACGGGAGCTCACCCCACTGAGAAACTGCAAGCCTCTTCTGGTGTGAGAGAATTGGCCATCTGCAAGGACGTTTGCTCAGGGGACACCAGGATATGTTACTATCCTGTGGGAGGCTTCTCTCATGTCCCTGCACGAGAAGCTGGAGCTGACAGACGGGAGCTCACCCTGCTTCCTGGATTCGAACTGTCGACCTTTCGGTCAGCAGTCCTGCTGGTACAAGCATTGCGTCACCAGGATAGAATCATATAATCATAGAGGTGTAAGAGACCCCGTGGACTATTGTGGGCCATCCGGTCCAACCCTATTTTGCCAAGAAGCAGGAAAATCAAAGCACCCTCAACAGATGGCCATCCAGCCTCTGCTTGAAAGCCTCCAAAGAAGAAGCCTCTACCACACTCCTATAATAATAGGTAAATCCTACCAATTCAATGGGGTTACTCTAGTACAGCTCCAGCATCCTGTCCTATGCCACGTCCAACTTTCCAAGTAGAGCAGTGTTTCTCAACCTTCCTTAATGCAGTGCCTCATGTGGTGGTGACCCCCAAATTATTTTCATTCCTACTTCATAACTGTAATTTTGCTACTGTTATGAATTGCAATGTAATTATCTGATAAGCAGGATGTATTTTCATTCACTGGACCAAATCTAGCACAAATACCAGAAACATCCAAATTTGAATACTGGTGGGGTTGGGGGAAGGATTAATTTTGTCATTTGGGAATGTTGGAGTTGCTGGGATTTATAGTTCGCCTACAATCAAAGAGCCTTCTGAACTCCACCAATGATGGAATTGAATCAAACTTGGCACACAGAATTCCCATGACCAAGAGAAAATACTGAGAGGGTCTGGTGGGCATTGACCTTGAGTTTGGGAGTTGTAGTTCACCTACATCCAGAGACTCAAACAATGATGGATCTGGACCAAACTTGGCACGAATACTCAATACGCCCAAATGTGAACACTGGTAGAGTTTGGGGAAAATAGACCTTTTCATTTGGGAATAGTAGTTGCAGGGATTTATAGTTCACCTACGATCAAAGAGCCTTCTGAACTCCACCAATGATGGAATTGAATCAAACTTGGCACACAGAATTCCCATGACCAAGAGAAAATACTGGGAGGGTCTGGTGGGCATTGACCTTGAGTTTGGGAGTTGTAGTTCACCTACATCCAGAGACTCAAACAATGATGGATCTGGACCAAACTTGGCACGAATACTCAATACGCCCAAATGTGAACACTGGTAGAGTTTGGGGAAAATAGACCTTTTCATTTGGGAGTAGTAGTTGCAGGGATTTATAGTTCACCTACAATCAAAGAGCCTTCTGAACTCCACCAATGATGGAATTGAATCAAACTTGGTACATAGAATTCCCACGACCAAGAGAAAATACTGGGAGGGTCTGGTGGGCATTGACCTTGAGTTTGGGAGTTGTAGTTCACCTACATCCAGAGGACACAATAGACTCAAACAATGATGGAACTGGATCAAACTTGGCATGGATACTCAATATGCCCAAATGTGAACACTGGTGGAGTTTGGAGAAAATACACCTTGACATTTGGAGGTTGTAGTTGCTGGGATTTATAGTTCACCCACAACGAAATAGCATTCTGAACCCCACCAACGATAAAATTGGACCAAACTTCCCACACAGAATCCCCATGACCAACAGAAAATACTATGTTTTCTGATGGTCTTTGGCGACCCCTCTGACACCCCCTTGCGACCCCCACAGGGGTCCCAACCCTCAGGTTGAGAAACACTGAAGTAGAGAAAGCAAAAAATGCAAGAGATGAGGAAGAAGAGAAGTGAAAGGTAAAGAAAAGAAGGGTTGCAATGGATCAAGAGACCTGTTAGCAAGAAAGAACGACGAGAAGTAGAAGGATGGCAATGGATGAGTGCCTTATCCATCCAAAAGGAGAGAAGAGCAAACCTGTCCAAGGTTGCAAAAGAGGGAGAGGAGCAACTTGCCTTACCTGGTCCGCAATGCTCCTGCTCTGTCCTTCCTCTGTGTCTTCTTCCTCTCTCTGTCTCTCTCTCCTCCTGTCTGCGTCTCCACATCTCTGCCAGCCCCCTTTTATACCAGAGCAGCCCATCTGGAGAGGCGAAGGCACCCTTCCCTTCCGGGCAACCTTTTCCAGCAGCGAGGGGAGGGACCCGGGGACCCTCCAGGTGCAGACAAGACAAAAGAGGCCGGGATTAGCAGCATCTCGACAAGGATCACATGAAATGCAGCAGGAGCTGGGTGCGAAGAAGGCACCCCAATCACAGTTGTGCGGAGAGGGAGGTGGGGGGATTAACACCTGGGTGCGCAAAGGGCAGCCAGGTAAGTCTTTCCATGACACCTGTGTTGGAGATTGAGCCTCCAGGTGATGGGTGATGCAGGGTTTTTGCATCAGAGTGGGGAGGGGGATTCGCCGGCGTCTCACAGATGCGCACAAGATGCCAAAGCGTGTCGGACCCCCCCGGACGGGGGGGGTCCGACACGCTTTGGCATCTTGTGCGCATCTGTGAGACGCCGACGAATCCCCCTCCCCACGAAAGACAACATTTGCCGAATCGCTTTGTTCGGTTTTAAGGGCCGAAAATGTTTCCAGATGTTGGAACGTATGGCGAAGCGCATGTTCTCAGATGTGGCAGGCCGAGTCGATGTGGTTCTGCATTACGGAGACCCTCAGCTTGGACCCCTTAGAGTTGGAAGAAATGTATTGTCCAACTGGGTTGTTGTAGGTTTTTCGGGCTATATGGCCATGTTCTAGAAGCATTCTCTCTTGACGTTTCGCCTGCATCTGTGGCAGACATCCCCAGAGGTTGTGAAGACACAGAAGCATTCTGACATTTCGCCTGCATCTGTGGCAGGCATTCTCAGAGGTTGTGGGGTCACAGAAACATTCTCTCCTGATGTTTTGCCTGCATCTGTGGCAGGCATCCTTAGAGGTAGTGAGGTCATGGGAGCATTCTCTCCTGATGTTTCACCTGCATCTGTGGCAGGCATCCCCAGAGGTTGTGAAGTCACAGAAACATTCTCTCCTGATGTTTCATCTGCATCTATGGCAGGCATCTCCAGAGRTTGTGAGGTCACAAAAGCATTCTCTCCTGATGTTTCGCCTGCATCTATGGCAGGCATCCTCAGAGGYTGTGAGGTCACAGAAGCATTATCTCCTGATGTTTCGCCTGYCTCTATGGCAGGCATCCTCAGAGGTTGTGTGCTCACAGAAGCATTCTCTCCTGACATTTCGCCTGCATCTATGGCAGGCATCTTCAGAAGTTGTGAGGTCCCAGGAGCATTCTCTCCTGACGTTTCACCTGCATCTATGACAGGCATCCCCAGAGGTTGTGAAGTCACAGAAGCATTCTCTCCTGACATTTCGCCTGCATCTATGGCAGGCATTCTCCAAGGTTGCGAGGACTTCACAACCTCTGAGGATGCCTCCCATAGATGCAGGCAAAACATCAGGAGAGAATGCTTCTAAAACGTGGCCATGTAGCCCAACAACAACCCTCCCTGCAGAAGCGGTACCTAAATTTCCTACTTGACAGATGCAACTGTCTTGGGCTGCAAAGGTTGACAGTAAGCTAGACAAATGGCTGGAAGCTCACGCTGACCCAGGTTGGTTTCGAACTCATGACCTCTTGGTCAGTAGCGATTTTAATGCAGCTGACTCCCAACCAGTTGTGTCACAACTGCACAAGTCTCTTGTGTCATCAAGTCTCCAGTCCTCAATGAGTAACTAGACTAGAAATAGGATCATAGTGAGGGATTCCTCCCGTCACATTCCTATGCATGCTTATCCCAGAAGGGGCTTTGTCTTTACTCTTCTTGCTTGCCACTATCTCTTCCCCCTTTGAAGATGTAGCAATGGAATCTCTGTCAGGTAACTTCCTCGTCAAAGGCAATTCTATTGCCCTGGGCTCGGCTGTGCGGTCAGCCTCCATTATCCCTTCTTCTGCCATTCTCCCCAACCCCACCAGTATTCAAACTGGGGCATATTGGGTATTTGTGCCAAATTTGGTCCAGTGAATGAAAATACATCCTGCATATCAGATGTTTACATTAAGATTTGCATTGGGATAGCAAATACTCCAGAGGTCAGGAGCAGAATTCAAAATGATCTTGACAGATTAGAGAGAAGATTGGCCACAGCTAACAAAATGAAGTTCAACAGGGGCAAATGCAAGAGACTCCACTTAGGCAGAAAAAACAAAATGTAAAGATACAGAATGGGGGACGAGGCCTGGCTCGAGAGCAGTACGCGTGAAAAAGATCTTGGAGTCCTTGTGGACAACAAGCTAAACATGAGCCAACAATGTGATGTGGCGGCCAAAAAAGCCAATGGGATTTTGGCCTGCATCAATAGGAGCATAGTGTCTAGATCTAGGGAAGTCATGCTACCCCTCTATTCCGCTTTGGTTAGACCACACCTGGAATATTGTGTCCAGTTCTGTGCACCACAATTCAAGAGAGATATTGACAAGCTGGAAAGTGTCCAGAGGAGGGGAACTAAAATGGTCAAGGGTCTGGAGAACAAGCCCTGTGAGGAGCGGCTTAAAGAGCTGGGCATGTTTAGCCTGAAGAAGAGAAGGCTGAGAGGAGATATGATAGCCATATATAAATATGTGAGAGGAAGTCACAGGGAGGAGGGAGCAAGCTTGTTTTCTGCTGCCCTGGAGACTAGGATGTGGAACAATGACTTCAAACTACAAGAGAGGAGATTCCATCTGAACATGAGGAAGAACTTCCTGACTGTGAGAGCCATTCAGCATTGGAACTCTCTGCCCCAGAGTGTGGTGGAGGCTCCTTCTTTGGAAGCTTTGAAACAGAGGCTGGATGGCCATCTGTCAGGGGTGCTTTGGATACAATATTCCTGCTTCTTGTCAGAATGGGTTGGACTGGATGGCCCATGAGGTCTCTTCCAACTCTTTGATTCTATGATTCTATGATTCATAACAGTAGCAAAATGAGTTTTGAAGTAGCATCAAAAATAATTTTATGTTTCAGGGTCACCACAACATGAGGAACTATTCAGGGGTCGCAGCATTAGGAAGACATATCTAAACCATACATCTTTATCCATCCATCTATCTGCATATGTATCTTCTATCTGATGCATTTCTCTCTTTTCCCTTTCCTTGCTGGGTTGCCTGAGATGAGGTAAAGGGGAAGATAGATTTTAAATGCTCAGCAGACAAATACAATCATTTAAGACCCAGCTTCAAAATAGTCTAAAGATTATTCCCTTTCTCACTTTGCACCAAACTAAATAAAGCATAAAGGGTGAGAGATGGTCCCTCGTGGCCACCTCCATTTGCCGCCCCCCAAAATAGTCCTTTTGGAGAGGATAAACGTTGAAAATAAAACGTCAACGTGGTTTCCATAGACAAATGCCCAGCTTGGCTGGTCTCCCTCGGGGAGTTTATAGCCTGGGCTAATGCACATTAATGGTGCGAGCCACCTCCAGTTTTAGTGGTCTGAAACAGTCCGGGAAGCGTCTTTCCTTTGATGGATGGGCCATTGGATCGTCATTACGGTCCCCAAATTTCCACGTTAAAGTCTCCTTCGTCAGCATCAAGTCATTCCAGAGCTTTGAATGAATCTGCAAATGCTTTTACGGAGAAAAAATGGTGACGCGGATGGAGGAACTGGGGGCCAAAAGGTGGAGATGGAGTGGCTCCCTGGAGCAAATTGACAGGTGGGTGCCTTCTTCCCCTCCGCCTATCTCATAATCACATTCCCTTTCTGTCTGGCTCCTTCTATTTGCAAAGTCTGTGCCCAGGAGACTGGCACTTCAGGCTGCAAGGGAGTGGGAAAGCCATTGCACTTCCTCAGGAGAGGGATCCCATTCAGGCAAAGCAAAAGCACCATTGCAAAACTCCCAATGGTGGCCTACTACAGAAATACTACAGAGCCCAGGATCATATAGTGTGACGGCGCGAGTGGCGCCACCTATGTATAGAACTGTTAGTTGTAAGATTTAAACTGTTGTATCATGCTTAATCTTGCCCCTTTTTCCATGTTTCTGTATATTTGTATGGATTGGTTACTTGTAGCTGTCAATCAGCACTGTTTGGCTCCACCTCTTCCTGCAAGAGGGGAGAACTTCCTCTTTTCTATTCATTCTGCGATGAGAGTTCCTGCAACATGGACGTGAGTAAGAGACTTCATTCTAAAGGACCCTGTTAAGTTACCTCTTAGCACCAATTCTGAGGTTTTTTCCCCTGGGACTCATGCTTTATGTCCAGATCATCCTGGACGATACTGAGGAGACCCAGGCGCCTTCAAGCCAGTTCTTTTGGCACCAGAGGAAGATCCTGAATCTTCAAAATAGGCCATTTGAATTGGGGTTGTGGTTTTGCTCCGGCACTCACAACCATTGAGGAAGAGGAAACCTGGTGAGGCTTCTCAGCTTCAAACCCCTTGGACCCAGGACTAATAGAGACTGTAAAGTGTGTTTTCCTTCACCCCTCTAGGGTTTTCCAGTTTATTGCATTGAAGAAATGACTTTGTGACAAATAAAACTTATTTTGAGTTATTTACATCGTTTTGGGTTCTTGGGAGTTCCAGTTTCCTAAAGGAGGGCAAGAAGCAATCCCTTGGGGGAAAGATGCCACGTCCATCCTCCTTTTAAGACTAATAGCCCCCAAGCGCGACGGCACATATAGCATTGAGCTACAGCAGCTCAAAGTGATGTGAAACTGCATTAATTCTACTATGTAGTTCAAGGGTGTAGATCAGTAATACATGGAACAAGAGTTGACAGATGTACAAGCTGGGTTTAGAAAGGCAGAGGAACAAGAGACCAAATTGCCAACATCAGCTGAATAATGATGGAAGGCAAGGAGTTTCAGAAAAACATCTATTTCTGTTTTCTTCACTTACTTGCTTACTTACTTAGGTGATCCCTTGTTGTCTGAGTAGGATAATCCTCCAGGGTGGGTCTGTAGGTGACTTTGGAGCCCTATTCTTGATCTGCATCGTCTCCTGCAGTGAGAGCATTGGTTTCCAGGTGGAAGTCGGTCCTGGTTGACAAAAGCTTCACTATTCTGAAGCCTTTGGCTGTGTGCATCATAATAAATTGTGGTAAGTTCTTGTGGCATGGGGAGACCAAGTCACCTTGTCTGTCTCCTGAGGAATCTGTACAATGACCAAGTGGCAACAGTAAAAACAGACCATGGAACAACCGACTAGTTCAAGATTGGGAAAGGAGTACCACAGGGCTGGCTGTGAAACGTGGACTGTCTACAGACATCACATGCAACTCCTAGAACTATTCCTTTAGTGCTGCCTCTGGAAAATCTTGCAAATCTCTTGGGAAGACAAGCGGGATACCAAGGTGCTTGTTTATAAAGCTATTGTCCTCCCAACCCTGCTATATGCCTGCGAGACGTAGACTGTCTACAGATGGCACGTGCA